GGCCATTGGAAAAACCATGGAGGTGGCCTCAAGTGTTAGGCCCTGCGGGCCACTTGCACAGCGAACCCCGTCAGTGCAGCAGAAAAAGGTCCCAGCCTCAGGTCCTCCAACACCTGCTTCCTGAAGGGCAGCCGGGCTCCCAAAGAGACATGATGTCATCAATTTTTTATCACGTCTCGGAGAGGCGACCTTCCTGGGGAGGAGACAGGGAAACAGGCCTGTGGAGGCGAACGGCCTGCGCTGGGAAAAGAAACATGATTTCCAGCTACTTGGATCAGGTCCCCAAGTTTCAGGAATAAAGCCACCTTGTCAGACTTGCCTGGACTCTGGTGCCTGAGAGGAATCTAGGAGCCTTAGCAAGTTCTTTCCATGGAATTTTCTGTAAAATAAAAAACGTTTCATTTCTTAAAAGTTCGATCTAAATGGAAGCTATTGAGAAATAAAACATTTAATTGCAAAAGTCAAACAGATTAAAAATCCCTTTAAATCTTAAGAAAAATAAAACCAAGCAAAACATATATCTTGTTTGCATACATGTTCATCTGCTGAAGTAATTTTCTTTTCTTTGTGGATTCATTTTCAAATTCTGGCTAATCCTATCTATATTCGCTGCTGCCATGGACAGAAGTTATCATCTCAATTTTATGTAAACACATATGTACTTTTGCCTATTTTAACAGTGGTTAATGAAATGCATGTACAGAGTTAAACATCAAATAATACAAAAGACCCATAATGAAAGCCTGCAGCCCTCTGCCCCTCCTCCTAATCTCCCTCGGTCCCCATCATAATCCTTTGGGGTTTTTTTCCCCCCTTTTGGTTGGGAGAGCAAGAAAAAACTCATTTTGCAAAAATAAGATGTTCAGGGAGCATGTCCCATTAGTTCTACATGAATCGGTCTACTACATGTCTTCTATTCCTTTAGCAACAACCCTTGAAATCTGTCTGCTTCTTAAAATTTTTGTTTTTTAAAAGAATAAGACCTTACAGATACGTGAACAAATTAATGGGTGCAGATAAAATGCAACACCACTAAGTGCATACACCCAATGACCATCACTCATATTATTTTCCATCAAGAAATGGAAAATAACCAGTATCTCACAAGTCCCCTCCAGCACTTTCCAAAGGTGACCATTATCTTCATTATCATAGATGGGTTTTGCCTTTTTGAAGTTTCTAAAAATCGAAGCACTCAGTGTATAATCATTATGCATCATTATGACTTTACATTTTTGTGAGATGCACTCATGTTTTTACAATTCGCCCTAATTGTTTTTCATTTCTGTCTAGTTTTCAATTACACAACTTATCCATTGTATGGATAATGAACACAAGGGATGTTTCCAACGCTGGCTCCTACATATAATGATTCTAAGATGTTTTACGTGTCTTTTGGTGCACATGCGAATGGTGTGCACATACCTGGTGTGTACATATATATCTGTGAGTAAAACTGCAGCATGATAGGACATGTGTGAATTCAACTTCCATAGATAATGCAAACTGTTTTTAAAAGTGTGCCAATTCCTAGTAACACAAGAGAATTTCAATTGTTCTTTGTCTTTTCCACTATTTGATACTGTCAGCCCCTTAATTTTAGCCAGTCTGGTGGATTTGTAGTGGTATGACAATATGTCATTTTATTTTTATCTTAATTACTAGAAACTGAACTTAGGGGTGCTCCACCACGGAGCTACATCTCCAGCTCATTTTATTTTTATTTTTAAGCTGCCAGATTGGCCTTTAACGTGCAATCCTGCCTCAGGCTCTTGAGTGGCTGGGATTACAGGCCTGGTTAAAATGTAATTTTAATTTGCATTTCTCTGATGACTAAATGAACTTGAATATCTTTTCATTTGTGTGTTGGGCATTGAATATTCTTTTGTAAAATCTTCAATATCTTGCCCAGTTTTCTTTTCTGCTGTCTTTTCCTTATTGGCTTGTAAACATGTTTTCATATTTGCATTATGAGTCTTTTCAGATAAATGTTTTCAAATATCTTCTCCCAAGCTATGGTTTGCCTTTTCACTCATTGATACTCTCTTCTAATTAATGGATCCATCTCTCTTGATTTTCTTCTGTTGGATCTTGGCTCTAGTTACTATTTTGCAGCTCTCCAATGCCTTTAAATAAAGATTCTAAAAATTAATTTCTCCAGCCTTTCTAGATGTTCCCCGTGGAAGAACTAATCAGGACCCCTCAGATATTCACCATTAATCCATCTAGTGTTTTCTTCTGTCATTTCCATGTTTTAAAATATGCATTTCGAATGTTATTTCTTGGTTTAACATTATAAACAATTTATATTGATTGCTTATTGCAGTAGATGAAGATGTAACTATCTTACATGTGCACACCACAGTCTCTTATCCTCCTAATAGAGCTATTTCATTGCATGATTTAAAACTTTAAGTCACATTCATTTTACTTTATATTAAGACTATATTTGAAATACTATTTATTGCAGGTGCATGTGATTGGCAAGGACTTTTCAAAGTCCCTTGTATTTGGGGTGGTGAGGGAGATTCTCTTTGAAGTTTTCAGTAGCCCCAATCACTATTCTAAATTTTCCAGAATAGTATCAATTTCAAACCTGACAAGCTCTGGGCATTCTTAGATTGCACTGCAGTAGTTCCTACTATTTTGGCATGACTCCAAAAGACTGTGCACAATAAATGCTATAGTTTGGATCTTGAGTGTTCCCCAGAGATTCCCTCCCATATTTCCAGAGTGATGCTCTTGGGAGGTGATGGAAGCTTTGAGAGGCAGGGCCTACTAGGAAGTCTTCAGGTTACTAGATGTATGCTCACCAAGGGGACTGGGGACCTCAGCCCCTTCTTCTTCCATTTTTTTTTTTTTTTTTGCTTTCCAGCCATGAGGTGAGTAACTTTGATCCATCACATGCTCCCTGCCATGATGTGCTGCCTCACTACAGGCCCCAAAGCCATGACCATGGACTAGAACCTCAGAGACAGCAAGTGGAAACACACCTTTTCTCTTTATAAGCTGATTGTCTCAGGCATTTGCTATCATGACAGAAATCTGACCAGCACAATGGGGTTTATCTGTTTACTGAGACCCGACTTTGAATGGCTGTGAAGTGAGTGAGGAACAACTGCCCAGCAAGAAGGGTCTCTCTGACCCCACGGTTCTCACTTCTCAACACGGCTGTGCTCGACCTTCCTCTTGGCATATGTGTAGCAACTCTTACAGAGTGAGAAAGACTTGGGAAAATGGCCTCAAAAAGAAGTCCAGGTGCTGGTGATGGAAGAAATGACAAATGAAAAGAATTGAAGAAAGTTCTGGGTCTTTGCCAAACAGAAGATCTGGAATATGTTGAATTCAATCATGGATGTATGGTGAGCAGGTCTCCTAGGAACTCTGTATAAAAGTGACAAAAGGTGCTTGCTTGTTGAACATATTTCATTAGGTAAATTACCTGGTAGTTATGCTCTTAAATATGAGGATTAGGAAAGGCTGTGAGATAGACCTTTTTCATATGCCAAGACATATCTGTATTCCAACTTACTGTTCTAAGAATACATTTGCATTTGTAATTTTACATGTCTGAGTTTTGGTGATGGTCACCCAAAGCAAGGGAGAGGGTCGCTGGTATAGCACTACTCCCACCCAAGCCCGACTCCCCACCCCAAACTAGCAACCTCCTTTCCCCAAGAGACCTGCCTTACAAGAGGTGCAGATGAGGACCCCTATCAGCCTCATGGCTGCCCCTGCTCCTGCAGCTTGGATAGAATAATGGTTGATGAGCACAGGTGACAGGTAGGACTGAGTTGGCCCAGGGTGGCCTTCTCCAATCTTTTGACTTGTTTTTGTAACTGTTTCTAGCAGCAACGATTTGGTTCTGTTTTACTGTATTTCTCAGAACCCGATTCAAGAGGACTTTATCTCCTGCAGATTTATGTGGGTTGTTTCCCGTCCTCACCTCTCTATCCCTCCATTCTAGCCCATCTGCTTGGGAGTTGAGTTGGTATTTACAGCCTGGGGTCTCCTCTCGCTTCACCCTGCCATTCAGCACCTCCATGGACTTCCAATTCTCATGGCCTCTCCCTTCCTGGCCTCTCCCCACAGACTGATAGCAGCAGGTGCTGACGTAAGGGTGGCCATCACAGTACATGTCATGTATTTATTAAGCACATCCTACAGCCCAGGCATCATCCTGGATCTGGGATACACAGACGAACAAGACAAGGTCCCGCCATCAGGATCTCCCAGTCCCGAGTGCCAAGCTCACACATATGAAACACATTGGCAAAAGTGTCACATCTTAGTGACAGAAATCCATGGGGCCAGGATGAATGGGAAGTCACGCGAGGCTAGGAAATTCACCAAAAGACCAAGGTGGGGAGAAGAAATTCAGTGGAGGAGGACGCTCTGATAAGATGTGCTGGTGGGGGACTCTTGTGAAGGCCTGAAACTACATGGGATCTGTTATGGCCAGTGACGGGGAGACGTGGAAGACGTGTCACAGGGTTTGTAGTCCAGAGGGGTAGGTGGCCAGACAGGCTCACAGCTCTCAGAGGCAGGAAGTAGAAGGTGCTAGGAGTTTTCCCAAGAGAGAGGACTTTGGGTTGGAGGGATCCCCAGAGGCTTCATGGCCTTGATTTTGAAGAACATGTATGGAAAGACCTGGGAAAATAGTCCAGAAAGGAAGAACAGGGCGTGGTGCTCATGGCTTTCATAAGGACAAGTCCATCACTGGGTGCAGAGTGAGCTCCATCTCATGGATAAGAGGAGTCCCAAAGAAGCCAGAATGAGCACAGCCTGTGTGTATGTCTATATGTGTGTGTTAAAGAGGTGAGGACTGGGATGCACCGTGAGGGGAAGGGAGTGACATTTGGGAGTGCTGAGTCCTAAGCCCAAGAGTACTCCTTGAGCTGCAGCCATTGACATGACTACAACATACAGTATGTGGGACGTGGAAGAGGCTGAAGGTGAAGCCAGCAGGTAAATATGACACATGTTCTTTGGCTAAAAAATTTATTAATGCTTTTGTAGAAACATGCTTCTATATTAAGAAACACACACACACAAAAAAAGAATTAGAATGCGTAATACACGTAGATTCCTTTTAGGGCAAAAATTACAAATTCAAAGACACTGCAACTGCCCCCAGAGGCCATTCAGTGTGTTTCATCTCTTGTGGCCATAAGGAAAGCCAAGGAAAAGATCTGAGAAGTCCTGACATTCTTGACCAATATAATTTTCCTAGTAACTGTGATGTCCACAGGCAAGAAAGCAGGCCCAGCAAGGGTGTACCATACTCAAAGTGACCCAACTAACAAGCAGCAGAATCAAAATTTGATCCAGGATCTGTGTATAAAGCCCATATTCTTCCTACAACAGCCTACAGAGTTGATGAATGAGGTGTTACTGGCAGGAAGGGAAGTTCAAGAGGTAGGTTGGTGCTAACATGGTAGGTCCTGAGCATCAGGCTGAAAGAAGAGTCACATGCAAAACGGCATGGTCCACAAGGGTTAGACTCAGAGGAGTTGAAGGTTCCTTGGGACCACCTTTTATCCCCAAGATAAAAATGTGACCTGCATCCAGCACTGTTGATGTTCCTAAAGCCAAAGAAGGAAAGAGGTTTCAGTTCTACTTAGTATTGTTCTGCAGAACACAGACTTATCAGAATCACAGACAAGACCATTCTTGAACGGAACACTGCGAAACCATGAAGCCACCTGTAACTTTTTCCAAGGTGCCCTTTCCATGACTAGGGGACATTCTGTAGTCCATACAACAGGAGAGAACAGTATTATTGGGTCCGAAAGGAAATCAATGGTGAGTGGGAACCTCTAGGGGCAGTTGCAATTTTCCAGATATTATTTTCCACTTGGAGGTCAGTGAGACAAACATCATGTTGACATGAAAGCCAAGAGACTGATGTTTTTATAGTAGGAACAAGACCTCCAGAAAGAGCCCCCAAATGGCCACTTTGTGCAAATACAAAGTCAAGCGTTCCTTATGGCTTGGGGTGAATTGCAAGCTGTTCTTTGGACTAGGAGACGGTTGCTATGGATCGCAACTGAATGCGACTGTCTTCTTTCTTTCCTTTTTCTTTCTTTAGGATGCACTGAGAGAGTTTATTGAGAAACCAGCCCACGTCTTGGAGATCTTCTGGCCACCTCAAGTACTGCTGCTTCTGTATGAATCCTCTGATTGACTGGTGTTTCATCAACTGGTACTGGGACAGGGACCCAACCACCACCATGATGAGGACACTGCTGAGGTCAGAGAGGCACCTGGTCTGGGCGTAACTGAAGGCTTCCAGGCACCACCCATCCCTAAGGAAGTGTCTGCTCACAAGACAGACGATCTTCCGGCTGCTCCAGATGGCAGCTTGGATGTTGGTGATGTGGTTTTCCCCGGGGACGAAGTCTCTTTCTTCAAAGCACAGGTGAAACCTATTTCGGTCACTGTACTGAGTGTCCAGGTGTTTAAGCAAAGCATTCTGTACCCACTCAAAGTCTTTGCTACTGAAGCATAAATAGGCGTCGTATCTGTACCTATCAGATTCTCTTCTCTGCGGACGGTCATGGAACAGCAATCTCTGGGCTGTCTTGTAACAGATGAAACAAAATCCCCGGAACTTTGCGACTATGAGAACACTCATGAGGAACAGAGTCAAAGTGACAATGAATAAGATGTAAAGAGAAAACTTTAGGGACTTGAAGACTTCCTCTTCATCGCAGTCTTCCATGGAAACGGAGTAGAGGGAAACCCCTAAGAGCGAGTTAGGATACATGCAGTAGATGTCTGCAGGAGATCCCAACAGAGTGACGTTGGTTTGATTGAGCCAACTGATAAAGGTGCGGAGTTCACACTCACAGATGAACTCGTTATGAGTTATGTCCAACATGCTAAGGGATGCAAATAAACCAGGATCAGGAGACAGGAGATGGTTTCTGGATATATCCAGGATCTCTAAATTAGCAGGTAAACTGCCAGGAGGGAGAATCGTCAGCCTGTTGGAGTTGAGGCTCAGTCCCCTCAATGCCGTCAGATCGCTAAATACTCCAGGGGGAAGGAAATTAAGATAGTTATTATTCAGATACAGAACCTGGAGTTGGGAGAGCCCCTTAAAAACGTCCCAGCAGAACCCAGTTTCCCAGACAAGTTGCAACATATTTTCTCCAAGGAAAAGGTGTTTTAAGTTGGGATTCCCCGAAGGGGCGTGGCTTGGGCTGCAAGAGGAAAAGCGATTTTGATTTAAAATGAGAGTTTGGAGCTGAGATACCCGGAGAAGTTCGTAGAGGTCAGCCAGATTTTCTAGCTTGTTCTCTGATAAGTGGATGAAGTTGGCTTTAAAGTTCACGTTGGGCAAAGTCACCAGTTTGTTGCCGCCTAAGAAGACGGTAAGTAAGTCTGGAATAAAAGAAATGGTTTTAAGAGCGTTGTCCCTGAGATCTAAGGTATGCAATTCTTTTAGGAATCTGAAGGTCTGGTCCTGAATTATTCCAATGTGATTCTTTTGGAGGTCAATGTAGGCTACGCTACGTAGCCCCTCGAAGTTGGAATTATAAAGTTCCCCCAGAAGGTTATACGATATATTGAGTATCTGGAGGTTCTCAAGTCCATAAAAGGCTTTCTCCGCAATCCTGTTTATCTTGTTGTGGGAAAGGTTCAGAACTTTCAAGTCCTTGAGTGTCTTAAAGAGTCGGGGGTTCAAGGAGAAGATGTACCCGTGGGACAGATCCAGGCGCTCTACTGAGCTTCTCTCCAGGCCGGTAAATATGTTCTCGTCGGGGTCTTTGAGGTTTTGGAAGCCAAACCCAGAACCCATAATATGGTAGGTGAGAATCAAAGAGGAAATCTGGCTTCCCCTGATGGCGTTGCTGAAGTTCCCCGTGATAGCCACAGTCCAGCCGTTATTAGAAACATCAAGGGTCTCTAGCTGTATATTTCTGAATGGGTTCATGCATTTCTCCCAGTCCACAGAGACTCTGATGTACAGGTAAGTTGATTTGAGTTTGAAAAGAGACAGCATTTTCCCTTGGAGTGGCTTGAGCTCCTCTTCACATAAGATGGATATCTGGTTGAAGGAAAAATCTATGGACTTTAAGGAATTCAGCTCCCGAAACGAAGGATGAAGGTAAAGGCTCCCAATTTGATTAGAGGACAGGTCTAAGCGAATTAAAGAAGTTAAATTTCTGAAATAACCATCTCGTAGTACCACATTAGAGAGACCACAGGCAAACAGTCTCAGTTCAAAGAGATGGAACAGTCCCTGGAAAGCATCTGGATGCAAGAAGCCGATCTGACTTTTACCCAGATCCAAGATCCGAAGATTGGGCAGGTTTCTGAAGGCCTCTTTGTCGATAGACAAGGGAGTAAACTGGCTCCCCATCTCTAGCAGTAGGAGCTGCTCTAGGAGGGGGAAGGACGTGGCAGTGACTGTCCTGATGTAGTTGAAGCTTAGCAGGAGCTTCTCTGTGGTGTTGAGGACCGGGGGAATCTCGGTGAGATTGCAGAAACGAAATAAGGCTGTCCCACCATCAGAGGAGCAGGAAGGGATTCCGAACACAGGACTCACCATGAGCAACACTCCTAAGAGAAGGTCAAGGTGATCTGCCATGATCCTATGGGGAAAAAGGGAGAATTAAAACCCAGCATCTCAGCTTGAGGCACTGTACATAGATCCTCAGAACTTGGGGGGTCTCCTCTAAGATGTGCCTGCTCCCGCGGACCCCTTTCTTCATGTGATGCCAGAATGTGTCCCTGGTTGATACCGCCTGCTGTGGATGAAGCTGTTCTCTTTATCTTTCTATCAGACACTTAATATTGCCCTTCCTCCACACTAGGCACTACTCTAGGTATTCACTTAGGTTGGGATGTAGCTCAGAGGGGGCCACGCTTGTCTGGCAGGTGCAAAACCCTGAGTTAGACCCCCAACATCACAAAACAAAGGAACAGAAACAAACTTCACCTGGTCTTTTTGATAACGGTTCATTCATGTTTTCATTCATTCATTCAAGATGTGCTGAGGGAAGTTGGAGAAAAGTTGTTTGCCTCAGCCAGGGAGTCCATTTCTAGCCCACAAAAGGCTCAGCTGATGGATGGAAAATAAATCCACTCATCTTTCCACCCTGACCTGTCCTGCCTTCTAGCCCGTCTCATGACCTGAGCTGATTCCATGCACAGCACATCTCATACAGACACTGGACATGTCATGGTTTGGGTATGAGGTGTCCTTCCAAAGCTCCTGGGTTAATATTCAGAGGTGAAATCATTCAATTTTGGGAGCCTGTGACCAAATAGGTCCATCCTAGTGAGCATGGAATGACTGGGTGGTAGCTGTAGGCAGGTGGGATGTGGCTGGAGGAGGTGGGTCACTGGGGGTGTGCCAAGAAAAGTTCATCTTCCCCTCTTTCCCTCTCTCTGCTTCCTGGTCCCCACATCCTGAACAGTTTCCCTCTGCCACAGTCTTTTGCCGTGATGTGCTGCCTCCATTTGCACCCAGAGCAACAGAGTCGGGTCACCACGGAATAAATCTCTAAAACCATGAGCCAAAATAAAACTTTCCCTCCTGTAAGTGGTTCTTGTCAGATATTTTGGTCACAGGGTGAAAAGCAGACAAACACAGTTACTTTATGTCATCTCTGCAAAGAGTCAGATCTGGTCAGTTCAATAAAAATTATTAAGCACCTACTGCATGCTTAGCATTTGTGACTGTCCAATAATTCATAAAACCCAATCCAGTTGCTTAAGTCCACTGGGGGAGTTCTCCAGCCATCGGGTTGAGTGTTTGCTTAGCCTGGGCAGCATCAGTAAAAGTGCTCAGTAATGTGTCTGGTTTATGTTCCGCCTCTCGTGCTGGGTATGATGAGAAGTACAGAGGAGATTCACAAGCCTCCTCCTTCTTTGGTGCCTGGAACATATTCAATTTGCTCTCAGTGTAACAAAAGCCCTGTGATGGAGGGTGCTGTGGTTTGGAAGTGTTAAACGCTTGGTTATCAGCCTGTGGTGCAATTGGGAGGTAATGGGACCTAGAGGGAGAAAGTTAGGTCATTGTGGGGGCATGCCCTTGAAAGGGATTGTGGGACCCGGGGCCCTTCTTCGGACTCCCATTTGCTTCCTGACCATCAGGAGGTGAGCAGCCTCTTCTGTCCTGTACTCCCTGCCATGATGCTACCACATGTCCAGAGAGACAGGGCCAAGAGATCATGGATTAAATTCTCTGAAACTGAGTCAAAATAAACCTTTCCTCTCTATAAGTTGTTTACTCAGGTAATTTGTCACCATGATGAAAAGCTGACTAATACATCTGCAAAGAGTTATGCACTCAGAGGGCAAGAAAAATGAAGGGGAAAATAAAATAAATAAATAGGAAGGAAGCAAAGTTTATAAAAAACAGAAATCCCACAAAATACCATCAGGGGCAACAGTTTTGACTTTAAAATAGATTAAGGCCAGAATAGTCATGGAGCTACAGTGGGCACTGAACCCCACTCGAATGGGGTTTTGCTTCCTGCTGGGAATAATTTGTGGTGGGGTTTCCAAAGAACCTGTGAATCTATGGCACAAAAAATATAGCAGGCCTTCACTCCTGGGCATCCCAAAATATCAAAGTGAGGCATTTAATGGTTATTGGGAGAAACTTGGTGAGAATATTTATCATCACTCTTAATTTTCCTGCCATCTCTGCAAATGACCATATTATTTCCACCCAGAGACACAGGAAGACATCAACAGAATCACCCTCCTTCTCTTAAATATCACCCCACATCAGTTCATCTGCAAATTCTGTAGGCTCCTCCTCCCAAGCTTATCCACTCCTCCATTCGGAGACTCCTTTCTTGCCTCTATTATTTCTAGTCTTTCCATTCTCCAAACAAAAATCTGAATAAAGTAATGAAGAGATGTGAAGAAGTCTTACATTCAAAGATGAGAGAGCATATAGCACCATGGTCCTAGGGGTTCCAGGCATATGGGCTTCTCATCTGTCATTCTGAACTCTTCCTGACCTCAGGGACTTTGCATAAGCTGCTTCCTCTACATGAATCTCCTCTCCTCTCTTGGAATGGCTGGATCTCACATCAACATTTCACCACAGAGCTTTCCCTCACATTCACTATTTGAAATAACTCCTCTACTCTCTCTCGAAAACGACCTTGTGTTTTCCCATCAAAGCTATTATCATAAATACTTCATTTTCTAGCTGTTTGGGTTTTTGTTTTGTTTTGTTTTTGCTTATTGTCCATCCCTCCTACTAGCAAGCATTTTGAAAGATGAATGGTGGGAGAGGGAGAGGGGAAGAGAGGGGATAGAAATGGGGGGAGTAAAGCAACTGCATTTTATCTATAGGAGAGCAGTGGTTCTTAATGGGGACAGCTGTCCCTAGAGAGCATGGTGTAAACCTGCAGGCCTAAGTGGTATTCACAATGATGGGGCCACTCATACCCCCAGCAGGTGGAGTCCTGCAGCACACAGAACCAGCCAGTATCCACACATCTGTAGGGGTGTCCCTGAAGGTGAGAACCTTCCTCAAATTATCTCAGAACCCGACTTTTACCTGCCAACAAACACTTTGTAAAGTGTCATTCACCATTTCAGAAAATCCCCTCACAATTGCGTGGCTTCCCCAGGGAATCAGGACCAACACTCTACTCGGTCTCCACCTGAGTGCCTTCACAGTGACTGTGCTTATGTGTTTCTGCCTATTTATTTGCCCTTCATTTCAAAATGTCAAGTGCAAGAAAAAAAAAAGTTTGGGAAGAGCCAGTTGCATATTACTACTTCTCTTAAATACAAACTGATTTTCTATAATAAGTTAGGCAAGATTATCCTACTCACTCCTTTTTTCTTCTAGTGTAGCAGTGGCCCAGAGTTCACATGTAGAAATACACATTAATTCATTATTACGTTCCCTTCTATTTCTTTCTTTTTGTATCCCCAGTTAGGACATTATATTGACTTCTTTAAAATGATGTATGTAGGTAGTTTATGGTATAGCTATAAATTTCATTTCAACATTCTATAAGGGGTCATTTCAAATATTTTTTATAAAGAAATGATCTAGGTCTGACATCACGGAAGCCTAGGGATGGAAAGCTTCCAGCTCTTTCTTCCCATGTTCGTTCCAGGGACCCTGGTGGTTAAAACCAGGAATTCTTTGACTTATTCTTTCTACCTGTGATTGTTTCTTTTGCAGGTGATCAGATTAGGTGATAGAAACAAAGTAGCCTTCCCTCCCTCCCTCCCTTCTTTTCTTTCTTTAATACCAAGGATTGAACCCAGAGGCATTTAACCACTGAGCCATCCCTTTTTATTTTTTTTTATTCTGAGACAGGGTCTTACTAAATCGCTGAGGCTGGTTTTGAACGTGTGATCCTCCTGCCTCAGCCTCCTGAGCCACTGGGATCACAGGTGTGAGCCACCATGCCTGGCTACATTAGCATTTCTTAATGAATTTCTTGTGGCTTTGAATGGGAACTAATGATCTTGTATCTGTAGATAATACACAAAATGGAAAATGGAATAAAAGTTCCAAGTGATCTTAATAGTCAACATGAAGAATCACTGAAAGAAAACAGAAATCCATCAGAACAGATAAGGGTACAGCAGAACCCCAGGGCCAGACACCCTCCTGTCTCCCTTGAAGGTTTGGGACCCTCATTCTCAGGCATCATGTGGGGTTTTACAGTCTTTCCACTGTACCTGACGTCTTCAATTTTATACTTATCATTTATATCCTACATATTTCCCAAAAGCATCAATAATACCAAATTTAAATTATGATGGATAAAGACTAAAAAGGGCAGACTAACATCTACAGAAAAAGAGATGGATTTGTCAAGGGATAAGATGGAAGGCAGGCACTGCAAGGGCCTCTGAATCCAGTTCCAAGGGTCCTGGTGTGCACATGTTGGGGCTCTGATTCCAGAAGCTGACAGAGTCTCAGAGGCACAGATCAAGGGATGAGGGGTAGGAACACGATCCCTTATTTAGTGGTACTCAGGGTGAAGATTCTGATAATGCACTTCAGAGGAGACAAGAACAAGGGGGAAATCAGGCCTTGTGACCCAAAGACAAAAATGAAAAATCATGGAAAACAATCACATTTAGATTGAGTTTCATGTAAGCTTTTTCACATCCCCTGGTAGGAAGTGGATTCTAGCATGTCCTTCAAGACATGAGAACGTCAGTCTCATTGCCCACACCTGGATGCTATGGTGAGACACTGCTCGGCAGGAGACAATAGATTGTAATTCTCCATGTTTTAAGGTCATGGGCCCCTTTGAGGGCCTGCTGACAGCTTTAATTCCTTGCACATTTATATCACAAACCAAATTTTGCACCCAGGTTTAGACAGTTCACTGATCTTCAGAGGCCTACCCATTTCAATGTCACATTGATAACCTTTACCATATATAAAAATGACCTTTACCATATATACAAATAAACCAATGGTTTATTTTCTAGAATGGGTTGGAAAAAAGTTTTCTGGGAAGGGAGAGATGGTAAATATTTTAGGCTTTGCAGTCCAAACACAGACCACAGTTTGCTGACCTCTGTTCTAAGAAGAAAAGAGCACAGAACCTTTGATTTCACAAATGAGGATTTTAAGTGACTCAAGATAAACACGTTCTGATGTTGAACTACTGGTATTTGCAGAAAAGAGCCAGCGTAGTCCCCAAGTAGCTGTCAGTTTTGTAGCTGCTGCTTTATCCAAACATCAAAATGAATTCTCATCTTATGTAGCCAGACAGAGGAATCCCTGCAGAGACACAGGAGTGAGAACACCAGCTCAGGATAAGAGAGTTAAATTTTTAGTTGTTTTTTTTTTAAATTTATTTATGGTTGGGTCAATGCTGGCCCCCAAGCATATATACCAAACTAGGAGACTTGACCTTGAATCTGCTGGTAACAATGACAGAAAGACAACAGACATTTCAAGACACTGAATTTTCAAATCCATAATAAGACAGCTAAAATTAAAGTTATTAAGTAAGGCGGATAAAGCCAGCTGAACAAGTATTTCAAAGAAAATTGTTTGAGCTTATGATGTATTGCAAAAATTTCATGCTTACCTATTTCCTTATGAAATATAGAAAGGCATGAAATAACTACATTTTGACCTCTGAATCAGATCTCTATGGGTCCAATGCCTGAACAGGTGGGCAGAATAGTCAGGTGAGCTGAACTAAGGGGTCTGGAGAGGTGGTCTGTGCAGAAAAAGGTAGGAGGAAGGGTCACACAAGTAGATATTCTGGAATGGGAGCCAGAAGCTAAAATGGGTGGAAGTAAATTTCAACTGAGCACCAAAATAGGGCTCAGAAGATGAGGAAAAAAACAGTGAAGTTGGTTCAGACTCAGTCAGACCTAAGAAAGATGAGAGTCCAAGAATGGAATCAATACAGCCAGAGAGGCTTGGCACATAGGGAATCTAAGAGGTACCAAGAGACTTTGAAACCCCTAAATCCCCAAACCCTAAGTGTGGAAGGGAGCAAGACAGGTGTGAGCAGGGGTGTAGGACCCAGAAGCAGCCTGGGAGCTGTGGCCACTTGCTTCTCCCCAATACGTGTGCTGGGCACCAAAGAGCCAGAAGAGCTTTGTAGCCATCAGGGTAGTTCGCCATCTGGTGGTTGTCAGGAGTAGAAAGAGAAAAGGAAGGGATGGGGACTAAAATTCTCTAGAAGGTGGGGTGCTCCTACATCATTATTAGACGTCTGATAAGAAGCAGCTATAGAAATCAAAAGACTAGGAATGAAAGCACCATATGACCCAGCTATCTCACTCCTTAGTATTGATCCAGAAGAATTAAGTCATCATACATTTAGAGATACATGAATAACCATGTTTACAGCTGTACATTTCACAATCGCCAAGGGATGGAACCAGCCTAGGTATCCATCAACAGATGAATGGAAAAAAAAATATGGTACATATACACAATTGAATATTACTCAGCCATAAAAAGAACAACTTGATGATGACATTTTCCAATAAATGGATGGATCTGGAGACTATCGCACTAAGTTAAATAAGCCAATTTCCAAAAAAAAAAAAAAAACAAAGGTTGAATTGTTTTCTTTGATATGTGGAAAGTAGCTCCCAATGTAGGGGAGAGGGAGAATAAAATTTCAGTGGAGTAGATAAAGGGGAATGAAGGGAAGGGATGGGTATGGGAAAAGGAAAGACAGTGGAATGAATCTTACATAACTTTCCTATGTACATTTATGAATATACCGCAGTGAATCTCATCACGTCCACATTCACAAGAAATTAATAAAAAAAACACAAGTAAATGGCCAAAAGATCAATAGAGGGAAGGGAGCAGGAGTTGAGGGAAGGAGAAAGAGAGGTACTGGGGATTGAATGAAAAAAAGACATAGTTCATGCTTTTATAATTATGTCAAAATGGATTCTACTGACATGTGTAACTAAAAAGAACTAATTTTATAAAGAAAATGTGGTGTAGATAAATATGCATACACACACAAAATGGTATTTTTACTCAGCCATAAAGCAGAACAAAATTATATAATTTACAAGAAGATGTATGGTACTGCAGAGCATCATGTTAAATAAAGTAAGCCAGACTCAAGAAAGTGAAGGTGTTGTATGTTTTCTCTCATATGTGAAGGGAAAAAAAGTGATGTTATAAAAACAGAATGGAAACCATTAGGATATAGACAGGGGGCCAGGAGAAGGAGGAATGGAGGATAAGTGAGGTACTGGGGAATGAAATTGATCAAATTATGTTCTGAGCATGTATGAATATGCCACAGTGAATCCCACTACTATGTCTCACTATTATGCATCAGCACGCTTTCAAAGACACATGTAAAATTTATTTCTGTGGTTAGTTCTATAAGTAGTATATACTGTACTTCTTAGAAGTCACTGCACTGTGTAAAATCACACAATAATAACCACAGGGCTTATGGGAAAAAAATGGGACTATAGCACAACACTAAAAAACTTCATTAGTGGCACATTAAAAAACAAAAGACAGGACCCAAATAAAACAGCAACACCATATTAACTAAGTTAAATGGTTAAGAAATACATCAATAATAGTATAGATATGGCGCTTGACTTTGAAAAAGATGTGAAGTTTGTTTGTGGAAGCAGGTGTCAGGAGGATTATAATTTATTAAGTTATTATGAAGTGGTGGAAAGAGGAGAGAGATTTGGTATCCAAGGGAAACCCTGGATATGGATGCAAGGGACACAAAACACAATGGAGAACTCATGTAACTGACAGACTGTGCGGTATATTTTGTGTATTCTTAGATCAGTGTGGTGGTTTCCTGCTGTTACGTGTAAGAAACTTTTCATAAGCAAATGCAAAATTCACATTCTCTAATCACAGGTTGTCTTTTGACATTGTTGGTTTTCATTTGGGTGCTGGGGATGGAACCTAGGGCCTTGTGCATGCGAGGCAAGCACTCTACCACGAGTTATTGGTACATTAGGGTACTGTTCCCATCAGCAGAAGAGAAGCAGATCCTGTAAGTGATCCCACCCCCACTCTGGGTGATACAGTTGCGGGAACACATGGGATTGATTTGGGGATCAGCCTAGGAACCAGTGCAGATTTGCCCTTCGGGGCTCAGAGGCTTAGACAGAATGTGTCCCTTCTTGTAGCCTCAATGTTCTCATGTTTCCCTGAGGCCGAACAAGATGAGTGGCTCTCAGCCCTGGCTACACATTAGAATTACTTGCAGAGTCTCGAGACCAGTGAAGCCCAGGCTCCCCCAGACCCATTCACTGAGACTCTCAAGATTGGGGTGCTGTCAAAAATCTGTACTCTTAGCAAGTGTGTGAATTTTATACCAACTCAAATTTGAGACGCACCAGTGTAAAGCAATGATTCTTCAATGTGTCTATACCTTGGAATCACCAGGGGACTTTAAAAACGTACAGGTGCCTTAATCCCATCTGAGGAAGGCTCGTTGGTTTCCAGGTAACTCCAATCGCAGGAAGTCTGATGACCCTGTCCTCCGGGTGCGGCCCTGACTGTGCCTGAAAAACACTACTGACTCAAAAATTAAACACAGAATTTCCACATGACTCAGCAATTCCACTTCTGGGTAAACACCCCAAGGAATTGAAAGCCGAAACCCAAACAGATATTTATACACCATGTTCATGCCGTATGATTCACAACAGCCCCAAGGTGGAAACAATACAAAGGTCCATCCAGGATAAGTCAACAAAATTGGGGGCTTATATAAGAAAATAGGATCCAGCCTTAAGAGGGACTAAAATTCTGACAACATAGACGAGCTTTGAAGATGTTATGCTAAGTGTAATGAACCAGACACAAGAGAAAAAATAATGTAGGATTTCACTTAAGTAGAATTCTCTTTTTTTTCTCCTCCATCCTTTTTTTTTTTTTTTTTTTTTTTTTGGAGATGGGGGTAAAATTTGGGACTTTGAGCATGCAAATATGTGCTGTACCACTGAGCTACACCACTTAACCTGTATGAGGTTTCTAGAATGGACAAATTCACAGATACAGAAAGTAGACTGAGGTTGCCAGGGGCTGGCAGGAGGCGGGAGATGGGGTGTGATTGTTTCAGTTTGGGACCATGAACAATTTGATAGATGACAGTGGATGTACTTAATGCCCCTGAACACTTCAAAATGGTTAAAATGATAAAGTCTATGCTATACATATTTTTGCACAATGAAAAAATTAAATTAAGCCAAACCCACTACTGATGCCAAACCTGATTCCTGGATATTTAGGTTGCTTGGGTCTGGCAGGAACTGAAAATTGCATTTTATAGCCATATCCCAGGTACTTGGATGCAAGCAGTTCTCAGGATGCCCTTCAGCTCAGAAACCCCGTGATTCTTAGAGAGGAAGAAGGGCTGATAAGAAATTTAGAGGGCTGTTGAGTATTGGGTTTGGATTACTAAACCTGGAATAATGTGTATCTAGGGTTTTGAGGGGGAGAAAACAGGAACAGCACAATCAATGCAGGCCTCAAGATTCCTGCCAGCCACTGTTAATTAAGATAATAAGACCAGAGGGAGAAGGGTCAGTCTCTCTTTCATTTGAAGTGAATCCATTTTCCTTTAATCCCAGCCATTAGTGCAGCAGGTTCCCTTTCTTCCCTTAATTGCCTGAACAACAGAGCTGCTCGCCTAAGCTTCCCGAGGTACGGACCATGGTGAATCAGCAGCAAACATACATAGCCTACATTTTGGGGGTTCCCTGCTCCCTGGACACCAGAGTTGGCCTGTGAATGCCTTGGGCTGAGCCAGAGCTGCTCCTATGCTCATGTAATGCTTGATCCCTATCAAATAATACCAGGAATAGGATCCTCAGCAGGGCCTCGTGTCTGAACTGGTCCCAGGCTAGCTGTGGTCATGGGGTAAGCTACAGAGAAATGTCTCTTCTGGCAGGTACCAGGTCAACCTTGGGCACCACCAGAGCACCAAGCTTAGAGGACTCGATATCTGAGAAAGATTTTGTAGATTTCCAAATGGGGAACCTGGGAGAGTTCCTGCAAAGTTCACATAACAATAAAAAATACTGGACTAATTCCTCATGTGGGTATGGAATGCAGGTTTAGCCTTGAGAAGGCTGAAGGGCAGTGGACCAGGGGAAATCTCTCATGGCAAATATCTTCTCTAGATGCACCATAATAAAGCCTCCCACTGAACAAGCCAACAGGTTGGAACAAGTCCAAAACTTTATTAGGGCCCCAGTCCCTCCAGCCTCTGACTCTAGTTTTCATTAAAACAGCTGGGTAACTGCATGCCCTTAGCTCAGATTTGCTCCCCAGGTACAATTCTAGCTTCTGCCACTAACCACCATGGTTTCAAGACTGTACTGATGTGACTTTGATTTCATTCAACACCACCTCCGTTTATTCTACAGGGACTCTTCCTGGTCTGAATTATGTCACTCACTGCACTAGATACTGGGCACCCTTGCCCACCAGGAGTGTACAGTCTCTACAGGTTGTGGAATAGTGATGCCCACAGTGTGTTCCCCCTGCCAGCAGCAAGAGCATCTAGAGAGCAACACAAATGCTTGGATTTCACCCCAACCCCCTGCATCAGAAGCTTTGGGATTGGGGCCTGGCACTGTGATTTTGATGCATGCTTGCATCTGAGAACTGTGAGGCTAGAGTCTGGAGGGAAGACGGAATTGTACAGTCGGCCCTCTGTGTTCTCCAGCTCCGCATTAGTGGATTCCACCAACCGTAGACCAAAAACATTTGGGGGAAAAAAACAGCACCTATACTATGTTCAGATGGTTTTCTTATTGTCATTCCCTAAATAATATAATATAACAACTCTTTACACAGCACTGGCAATATATCAGGCATTTTGATTAATACAAGATTATTTGAAGTATGTGAGAGGTGTCTGTAGGTTATATGCAAATACTACACTGTTTTATACAAGACACTTGGGCATCTGATGTGTTTGGCTTCGGTGGGTGGTCCTGGAACCAACTGCCTGTGGATACTGAGTGAAGACTGAATGCTAATCACTGTAATATCATACAGTGGGAAGCTTTAGATTCCTCTTATCATTGTAGACAACATTTTACAAATGAGGAGACTGAGGCTCAGAGAAGTTAAGCAACTGACTTAAGAGCACACAGTTTCATCTGCTGTGCATCACCCTCTATGCCTAACGTCCGCCTGTATGGCAGTACAAGCTGTTTTGTGCAGTGGTCCTGCCTCAGCCCACCTCACAGTCATCGTCTGCTCATCTTGTGATTGAATCCTTTAATCAGAAAACACTCTGGCCCTGGCTCCCAGCAGGTCACCCTCTCAGCCCTTGTCCTCTTCAATGTCCACACAAAGGTCCATTTTATCTCTCTATAGTTTCTGGTTGGCATGGTTCCTCCTTTGAAACATGGAGATCTCTCAACACAGCCGTGTCCTCTCAGCTCTCTCTTGTCTTTATTTGAATTATGGCACCTTCCTGATGGCCTTAGAACTTCCCTGGAGTGGGAGCAGTGGCACATATCTGTAATCTCAGCACCTGGGGAGGCTGAGGCAGGAGGATCGCAAGCTCAAAGCCAGCCTCAGCAACTTAGTGAGGCCCTAAGCAACTCAGTGAGACCCTGTCTCTAAATTAAAAAACAAAAAGCGCTGGAGATGTGGCTCAGTGGTTCAGCCCCTCTGGGTTCGTGGTACAAAAACAAAAACCACAAAAGAAAAAAAGAAACAAGTGCTCTGGACCCGATGTGGATGGAGGTTGAGTTCTGGCAGTGAGATCCATAGGACGAGTGTCGGTGCCCTCACAAAAGTGCAGTGCTCAAGTGTGCCTTCCACACAACTTCACCAAGCCTCTCCTTTCTCTCACTCCCTCAGGAGTGATTCCACACTGTCAGCCCATCCCGGGTTGCCTCTCCCAGAAGCAGCTGGCTTTGCCTCCTAGGTCCAGTAGCCCACGGAGGCCCAGCTCCACCAGCTCCTGACTGGGAGCGTGCTGCTGCCCTCTACTGGCCACTAGTATGGCTGACTGTGTTGGGACAGCAATGCCCGCAAGAGAGCTCTGTGGCAGTCCTGGGGCAGCACCCTGCAACCCCACTGGGAGAGACACTCAAGTCAAGCAGAGGAGGCTGGGCCTCCACACTTCACACTAAGGTTAATGTGGTGAGAGAGGGCAGCTCACTCATGCAAACCCGAGTGCAAAAGGCGCTCACCCCATGCCTGGGGAAAGGCGACTTCATGCAAGCAAAATGGAAAGCACGCTCCACACCCACACTTAGACCCATCACGCCCGAGCAGCGGCAAGCGTTAGCATCTTCTGTGAGCACCAAGGACGAGCACAGCAGGGTAAAAGTCTGGCGACTGCCTACTGTTCTATAAACAGGACTCGGAGATCAGCACATTAAGTTTCTGGGCACTGGAGCACGCTCAGGAGAATGGCTGATTTATTTACTGACGCTAGCTGGTCTCCTTAGGTTCTGTTTGCATCTCTAAGTGTTTACGATGATTCTATAACACAAAACATGACTATTAAGTCTAGCCCAGTGAGAAATGTCCCTTTTATGTTTAGTCTTTGTTCCATGAGCACTGGGAGAGGGTGGGGAGACAGGCTGTCTCCCCACCCTCTGTCCAAGCCGAATTCCCTCCTGGAGTTGGTAGAAACTGGAAACCCTGTCAGGATGCATGTGACCTTGCTGTAGTGATCGGACGCAGTGTACGGTTCCCTGAGCTGCAGACCATCCACTAAATCGCTTCTAGAAATTTGTCTACAATTGTCATCAAACTCCCCGGCTTCTACTGAGAGTCCCACCTGTGTCCCTGTGTGTCCATTAGAATTCTTTTGCTTGTTCTGTTTGGTTTGCTGCCATCACTAGCACTCAGAAGGTATAATGTTGGCAAATATCTGCTAAATGAATGAATTTGCTTGTGTTCTGCCTGCAGGGGTGTGGGGGGGGCTCCCTTCCTCTTCCTGGACCTGCAGGGATGGCTGCCCAGGTGCTGAGAGCTGTGTGCTGGTTCTCTGGGTCCCCTGGATGGACTGATCTGGGCCCATTCAGGGCAGCCCCATCTCACTTGGACCATCACTTGGAGGGATTACCTGTTCGTATCATATCATCTGCTTCTGAGAGTGAGCTTGTTCTTGCTTCCTCCCTTGAACACACCCTGAGATATCCTTTTCTGCATCTGCAGCATTTCCCCTAATTGCATAGCATATACACTACAACCTTTCCGAATCCCTTTGAACTGGCCAAACACTGCCTCAAACTCATTGTTGGTCATAGACCCTTATTTCTGTCTTCAGTACATAGATCCTTAAAATCAAATAAGTGGCTTCCCTAAGTCCCCACAGGAAGAAGCTTCAAGGATGGCATCAATGCAGTTGGTGGCCAATGCTGTGAATCTCACCTCCGGGTATCTCTGGCAGTGATTCCCCTGCCTTACCATTCTGCTGCCAGGCCCCAGTGTCTCCTGCCTGGACCACTAAAGCAGCCACCTCCCAGAGTAATAGGGTTTGGATCTTGAATGTTCCCCAAAGGCCCCTATATTGAAGGTTTGGTTTCCAGCCCATGGCACCGTTGGGAGGTGGTGGAATCTTTAAGAGATGGGGTTTAGCAGGAGAAAGTTAGATCCCTGAAGAGGATATTGAGATCCCAGCAATTTCCTGTCTTTCTCTTTGCCTCCCGGTTACCATGAGTTGAAAACTTCTCCATTACAATGCACTCTTGCCATGATGTGCTGCCTCACCACAGGCCCAAAGCAACTCGGCCAATCAACCATGGGCTGAAATCTCAAAAACTGTATGCCAAAGAAAACTTTTTTTTATTATTAAATTCATTGTCTCAGGTATTTTGTGACAGTCACAGACTGACTAACATCATGTGTAACTCTGACATATGCATCCCTCCCTGAGGGAGCTTCCCAGAACACAACTCCTACCAGAAAAGTCTCCCCTGGCTCTTTAGGCTCTCAAAATTAGAACTCTGCAGAATGACTTTGGGGGTCCTCCTCCTGCAACCATACCCTAAATCTGGAATGGTTACTTAGAGGAGATACTTAGGGCCTGCACTCTCATTTTACAGAGGGAGAAACTCAACCCAGCCTACCTTCCTGGCGGTGTGTCTAGACTGCCTTCCCTTTGCTGCCTTGTTTCCCAGATATAATTTGCCATTCTCAGAATTTGACCTCCACCCTGACTTGTCTGCTTGGGCTGGTCTCTGGGCTTGGAATGCCTATGCATGCCTCATCAGCTCATCCCATCCCAACATTCCTTGCAAGGGCTGCCTCTGAGGCCGGGTCTTCCACAAAACAGCCCTCCCATTTCCCCAGGCATTCTTTGTCTCTGGCCCCTGATATTCTGAGTACATCTCCACGACAGCATTTTTATCACACTATGCCTTTCCTACTAGATTGTAAATCTGGAGGGCAGGAACTCAATTTTATTCACGTGGGATCCCCTGCAGTACTTGGCACAACTTAAGCACCCCAGCAATTTTTTTTCCCATTTATATCTTGAAGAAGACGTGTTTTCATCAGAAGCACTTACCTCCTCATCCTAGCATGAGGCACTTCTAAGTTCTTTCCATTCTAGAGGCCGAGGGTCCCCAGGTTGTTTCAAGGCTTCCGTTCTTGATTCTGTAGGAATCTCATCACTCTGATGGTGTGTGTGCAGGTGGGGTGGGGGGAGAAAGAGCTTTTGTTTTCCTAAGAGAGAACAGGAAAGCTAATTAAGAGGAAGAAACAGAAAACATTACGGCAGGTGGTTTTCTGTGTCATACAGCGATTTTCTTTTTAGGTGTGATTCTATTAAATGGAATGTTTATCAGAGAAGATCAAGACCGTTTTGTAAATCGAGGCACACAGGACATCAGGGTGGAAGGGATTTTGAAAAATCTCTGGCCCAGCCTCTCGTTCAGAAGGTGGATGTCGGAGTGAGTCACTCAGCCCAATGGGCATCTTTCTTTCCTATAACTCCAGGGAGGGGAAAAAACTTCACTGTGATGACGAAGAAGTTTTCCCCCAGGACCCAGAAGTCTCTTTCGTGACATTTCTGTGGTCGTTTGATTTCTGAGGATCAAGCACAAGGACAAGACAATTCCACCGTCTCTACTCTCCAGTGAGCAGAGAACTTGCTGACGAAAGGATCTTGTGAGTTTCTGGGGGAACATAGAGCTAAGGTCACCATCAGAGCTTGACATTTCTAAGCAGTAGGACGAGGTAAATCACGGTGCTGTTAGGAGACACTGTGCAATGATTGGGTCTCCTCAGATTTAGGACGAGAGCGTCCTGAGAGTTGAAGATTTGAACAGTTTTGCTTTTCATCATTTTATAGATGACTTAAATGGATGCTCACCAGGGTTAACAGCTCATGCCTAAGGTCTCACATCTATTAAATCACGGAGCTAGGATTTGAATCCAGTTGAAATCTTGTCATTGTGATTTTTTTTAAACAAAGTCAAAATTAAATCTACTGCGAAAACATGCAGAGCCTCAACGGGTGCTTTGCAGGAGAATCCCCTAGAGATGTTGTTGAAATGGAAATGTTGATCCATCAGCTTTGGGTGGGGCCACGGAGCCTGCATTTCTAACAAGCTCCTGGGTGGTGATCACGCTGCTGCTCCACTGACCACAGAGTGGGGAGGACCTTAAGAGATGTGCTATCAAGAGATGTGCTATCAGTCTAGGTGCTTACTGCTTTCCTGCCCACTTGGGCTGCCTCATGCTGCCTAATCAATTTTGAGAAGAACTCTTCACTCCCCATCCCTTCTCATCCCCGAAGAGTGAAGCATCAGATAGTACCTCCAAGAGGACTCATTTGGGCTTTCAGAAGACGGGGAGCCAGAAGAGTCCCACCGTTTTACTAGGAGCTAAGAAAACAGGAGGGTTTGGGGTCAATTTCTCTGGTTCAGGAGAAACACTTTTCCTGGAGACCAGCAGGGGGAGCACAGAGGGCAGAATCAGGGTGGGAGAGACTGGGCTGGGCCCTCTGGGAGGCTTATATTGCTTGCATAATGAGGTGAGTTTGGAAATTAAAATGACAACTAAGCTAGTAGCTGGATTCAGATCCTAGCTCCAACATGGAACAGATGTGTGAGCTTGAGCAAGAGCTGAAACCCTCTGTGCATCGGTCTAAATCATCTGTAAAATAATAGTTTCTCCTTCCTCCAGCAATACCAAGAGCAAGCTACTGAGGACCCTCCAGTGTCCAAACCAGAGAACCCAATTATCCACGTAATCCTCTAATATTTCTTACTTGCTTAAGTAGAAAGCCATCATTTATGCACCTACCCCTCAGCAGAAAGGCATTCCTTTTAAAACCACTGAAGGGGAACAGTGCGAGAAGGAAGTGGGTTTCTTAACATGCTAGGGTGATTTGGTGTTTTTCTTTTGAGCACTCATGGGAAATTATGTACCAGCTTCCTCCGTTTTCTTTAATATCATCTCGTGGTGGTCCCCAGCACCATAAAACAACAAAAACAGCAGCCACCAAGGGAGTGATAATCTGGAAACAGTATGTTGAGAACTGAAATGGGTTAGGCACAGGGTGGCTTCCCTTTTGTCTGCTTATTATAAGCTCATTAGCACAGTTTTAAAGGCATCTGATTAAAATAAATAATTTCATCTGGAT